GGGCCAGCGGGTGTGCGGGGCTCCGGAGGGGCTGCGGCGGTGGCGCGCGCTCTGGCCCCAAGGCGGCCACCCACGCCTCGCCGCGGGTGCCCACTCCCGCTCTCTCCCCTTTCTGTTCCCTTAGCGCTCCCTCCCGCGCCTCTCCCGGCCCCCTCCCCCTTTGCCCTCAGCCGTGTCCCTTTTCCTCCCACCCTGTCCCCAGCCTCTCGGTCACTCGCTGGTGCCCTTGGGCGTGCGGCGCTTGGAAGGCGCGATTCCTGGGTCTCCCGGCTCCCGGCTCCGGCCGCCAGAGAGCAGCAAGCTCTCGGGATCTGCGGACTGCGGACTGGACCGCGCAATGCCGCGGCTTGTTGCCTCCTGGGACTGCCGCACCTCTTTCTTTCTCTCGGGCCACTAGCCAGGGCAGGTCTCAAACATCTCTGCCCAGTGCGACCGCGTGGAGAAAGCCCCTGAAGGGGTCAGAAACCTGTGCTGGGCTGAGGCTAGGTACGATGGGCGCAGGAACGAGAGATGATGTAGTTACAGCCCTCGGACCCTGCCCACGACACATCTGTCTCTATATACCAACTTCTGCACTGTTACTTTACTTCATATCAGGTGTGGGGATAAATCTTTCTATTGCTGCCCTAAATAAGTGGTCTCGTTCTGGGCGAGGGGGAGGGTTTAAGTGCTGGAGGCTGGGAAGAGCCATTTGGCAGGATGGTTAAGTGGGGGGAGGTGAGACAATCTGGCTCCAAATCCAGGCTCCGCCCCATATTAGCTGTTCGACATCTTTGTGCCTCAGCCCCTCATCTGTAAAACGAGGATAAGCATAGTGTACACCTAATGGCATAAGGGTTGAATGAGTTAATACGTGTTAGAGCCCCAGGATAGTGCCTCACTCGGCCACAGGTGGAGGGGAGGGCGTAAGGAGCTGCTTGCTGGCTAGCAGGGCTGGTTAGGGAGAGGCACAGAGAGCTCATTCATTTAGCCAACATAAAAATACTTATAGGGCTGCTGTCATATGGCAGAGGAAGGCAGAACTGCAGGGAGGATATTGCCACCTCATAGGTGCAGGGTGAGGATGGCTTGAACTGTGCCAGGGAGGTGAGGGCCTGTTTGGAGAGGTGTCTGGGAGGGCACAGAGAACCCATGGTCTCAGTGCCCACTGGCTGTGGATGACACAGGAGCAGGATGTCTGAGAGTCCTAGATGAGAAGGTGCTTTGGAGAAAAAGCAGTAAATGACAAATGTTGAGGGATGGGTAAACTCCCCCCACCACCCCACCAGCCCAGGAAACCGAGGCTGTTAAAATCATAGCTCAGAAACAGCTCTTCCAGGGCCCTCGGATTTCTCATTAAATCTTCCACCTCTTACTTGGGTCCTTGGGAATTTAACATAGTGAGTTGAAATAAAAGCAAGGTGGCTTCTAAGGTTTTGCCGGCAGTTGACAAAAAAGCAAAACTTTGGGTCTGGTCTTCCTTTCTGAAAGGGAGGGACTGAGAGCACTGAAAGGGGAGGCCAGGAGCTCTTGGGAGTGTTGGGTGGCAGGCTCTGTGAATGTGACTGGCTGCCATCTCATCGTGTGGGACAGGCGTAACCCTGGTGGAATACATCTGATTCTGCATTTGTTCAGTTTCAAAGACTGAGAATAGGACACATAGTCAAAGCTAAGGCTGGGGCTGGATGGTAGGGGACTACGTGACGGGTGCAACACAGAGTTCTGTGCCAGATTCTGGTCTAGAGAGCTGGCAGAGGCTGGCTGGAGTTGTCCTTGCCAGCAGGGTGAGGAGGAGTTGTGGGATAGGGTGCTTGGAAGAAGATGGGACAGCCTCATCCCATTTCAGGTCTTGGTGGTCCTCAGGAGGTCTGCAAGAAGAATTCAGAGGTTCTAGAGCTCTATTAGAAGGAACATGGAAGGGCAAGAGTTGCGAGGTCATCTTGGAGTTTCCTGTACCTGCTTATCAGATGCTTTAATCAGGAAGGGGTTGGGAGCATGTCCTGTTGGCAGGGGCAAAGAGAAAAGGAGCTGCCTCTCTCTGAGCTGCCTCTCTGAAGGGAAGGTCTCATCAGTGGAGGGGCTGGGATAAAGCTCAGTACCACCCCAAGCACACCATGCACACCCACGTCTTTCCATGGATGCCTCACGGACACCTCAAATTAAATGTGTTCTAAATTAGACTCACCACCTCTGACACTCAAATCCTTAACTTGCTCTTTCCCTTATGCAAATGGAACTACCATCCAGGCAGTTGCTGCAGCTAGAAATTAAACTCCGCCCTCTGGCTCATTCCCTATCCCAAATCTAGCCGGTTTCCAAATTGTGCTGATTGTGTTTGCCTACTTGACTTCGTAATCCAGCCCTTCTTTCCATGGTCTGTACCTCAAGTCAGACCCTGATCATTCCTCACTCTGATTTCCATTCATACTCCAGTAATTCCTTCTCCCAGTCTCTTGCCATGTGTATCTTCCTGAATGTGATCATTTTACTCTTAAAAAATTTTTTTTTTGATGGCTCATCAATGCTTTGAGTTAAGATCATAGCATACTTGGTTCTGTGGGGCTGGGCTCTTTCCTGTTTCTCCTCTTTTTCTCTCTCTCTCTCTTTTTGGTGGTATTTTTTTTTGATGGCTCATCAATGCTTTGAGTTAAGATCATAGCATACTTGGCTCTGTGGGGCTGGGCTCTTTCCTGTTTCTCCTCTTTTTCTCTCTCTCTCTCTTTTTGGTGGTGGGAGGGGCTCAAAATAGTTTATTTGGCAGGTGACCCTAGGAAGCATGATGAGGTGGTTGTTTCCTTTAAAAGGGATGCTTCTCTGAGACTGTGCCACATGGTACCATAGGATTTGTTTGGGCTTCAAATGAATGAATGGGAGTCAGGAACTTTTGTACCTGAAATGATTCTCACACGAGCTTTGTGTTTTAGAATCTCATGCATGAGTAGAACGCTGTCCAGAGGGACATCCTCTCCCCAAATGGCTAGAACCTTCCCTAGCTGAATCCCAGTGTTTGGGAACTCAGACTCTCAGGCCTATCCCCACTGCATTTTTATCTGGAGTCTGTCCCCCTAAATCATCCTTAAGGGCTTCCTGGAGGATATGAATTTAAGGGAGTTTAAATGTCCTTTGGTTCAAGAATGATCTTCCATTCTTCAGCATTCCTTACCTTGACTCGGCCTGTGGAAGTGGGGTCATCCTTCTCTATAGAAATGTTGGAGGGCTTTCTGAAACTGCCTTGTGTATACCATCAATGCTCTCAGCTGAAGAATATGGTTAAGGTATTTGGATAAAATATTTCTCACAGATGGGAGAAGAAGGGGGAGGGCTGGTGGTGGCCTCTATTGTGATATGATGTGAATGCTTCCTCCCACCTCCTGTTTCATCAACCATCCACTGAGCTCTCCTTGTTAAAACCAAGGCCCTGGCAGGCAGAGTGTGACGTCTAAAATGCAGAACCTTCCCCAGGGAGCAGTTTTGGAGGGAACTCTTACCTGGAACCTAGTATCCGGGTTCAATCTGTGCACTTCTTCACTGTGTGGTCTTTGCCAGATCTTTGGGCCCAGTCGTCTCTTTTATCAAATGAGGCACATGGGGTTGCCTAAGTAGAGATTAAAGCAAGGGAACTCTTTCTTCAAGTGAAGTCTTCACAGAAACTCAATATAAACAAGCAGAAAGTTGTTGAAAAGCTTTGGCTGGATCAGAGACAAAATCCTGAGTCTGACCGTCTGAACCTCCCTCTCATGCTACGTTCTGGTCCCTGAGGCACCCCCATGGCATTGTGGGCTCCAGGAGCCTTGTGGGCAAATTGCTTAACCAGTGAGCCCCGGAGATCCTGCCAGTCCTTGGCTTCTTTCAGTGGCATGGCTCCCAGTTTAAGATGAAGACCAAGCACCTGTATTTACCTCCTCTCCCTTATGAGACGCTTTGAGCATGACAGTAAAGAGAAAGGAGTGTTTCATCTCACAACTGGGAAGTTAACTCCTAGGCTAACAAACCCTAGACTCTTGCCACTAAAGAGAAGACAGAAAGGAACTTTACAAGAGGTCACAAAAGGACTGAGCAGTTTGTAAAGATGGT